TGGGTGTGGGGGTAGTTGGGTCGCGGTGGCTTGTGGTGGAGGTAGAGGAGGGAGGGGGCCAGTGGAGGGCGAGAGGGAGCTGGGGCGGGGGGAGCAAGAGGGGGGGGGGGGGGGGGGGGGGGGTGAGGGTTAAAAAAAAAAAATTTTCTTTTGGTCGGAAAAAAGGGGGGGGGGGGGGGGGGAGAGGAAGGGGCATGCCCCTCCCCTGGATCCTCCACTGAGGATGACTTGCCTGGAACTTTGCCCATTGGGCAGGTAAGCTGGAAAAGAAAGTTACTTGGCCAGCAAGAAAATCTAATTGTCCCAGACTACCTGATAGGACCTTTTTTCCCGAGCCCTGTAAAACTCGAAAGAACAGGGTAGCAGCCTGTTTCCCTTCCTGTGACATCTATAAAATGGTGTGGGCCGGCAATTATCAGATTACATTTGAATTTATTTACATTTGATTACAAATGAATTTATCGTATCTTTCGGTCGGTTTATAATGTTATAAAATCATTTCACCTTTACACTTAACTTTCGTAAAGGGCTTTCTCCTTACCACCTTGGTTTATTCTTCTACATTTTTACCAGAATTTTACCTGGTTTACTGTAAACCTGCCTTCTTCCCTCGGGTGTCAATTTGACAACTTCAATATTTAGTTGCTCCACCTTGAAACTTTTTCGACAACCCATTTGTTTTTACTGCCAGCCGCCAGGAAGGCCGAAGGGCCCTAAGGCCTCGCTTCCATGCAACTTCCAGTTTTTTCCTGGATCAGCGTATTGTTATTGCAAATCAATAGAAATTGAAGTTACAGAAAAAATAATTAACCCACGGTAATTGATAACAAGCCGAATAATCTTGAGGAGTACATGTATAAGGTTCAGATATTCTGAACGTGATGATGCTATTTGGCAAACAACACCCACGAGACCAGCTTCAGCTTAACACATTTCTGAGTTCAGCGACCACTCCAGGCGTGGTCTTCATCACGTTCCATTTTTTCTGTCTTCTGTTTCCTGATTTGTTTTAATAGATCTTTACATGTCCATTCAATCCTGCACCATCAGCTGCATCTTGCATTTCTTTCCATGCAATCTTGCTCACATCAGAATCCAGTTCAATACGGTACAGTTACAACCCGCATATAAGAACCTAGATTTTAAGAACCTGTTAGGCTAAGATTGTCTTTTTAGACCCCTTTTACATAAGAACCTGTTTTAGCCTACAATTTTGAAACATTCAGTCAAGCACTGAATACACACATTTCATAGAACAAGCTCTACCAGTTAGGAAAATGTATAAACTTCCTAAATTGCTTAAATAGGCCCAAAACAGGCCACACCCACCAATGACAAACACCTTATTTATTTTTAAGAACCTGAGTAGCCTCATTTTCCAGTCAGCACCATTTTTATTAGAACCTTCTTAGCCTTCTTAGCCTAGCTTGGAAAAACTTAGGTTCTTATACGCGGGTTTTACTGTATATACACGGGCACTGAAGACCTCCAGAACACAGCCATCTTTTAGCATAAGAGGTTGTACCTGGTCGGTGAAAGATGTTTTTTCACTATGCATACAAGTCTTTTAAGTATTTCATTGCTATTACAGGGGGTTCATTAAGGTTTTCAACAGGAGGGCAACTGAGTTTGACACCCGGGCAAAGAATTGGCAAGGCCCGGAGGGCCTTGACCCTTAGGGGGGTCCGGGGGCATGCTCCCCATGAAAATTTTGCAATTCTATGGTCGCAGGGACGTGTTTTCCTGCATTTTAAAGCTGCAGACAATGACTTTCAACAACCAAAAAAAGATAACTTTTCTAGACAATTAATCATGATTAAGTGATTAGATGAAGTGTGTCAGACAAACATTTGGAGAGACGAAGAGTTTTCGCTAGAAGGTGAATCACAAAAGTATTAGTTTAACAACTTATCTTTAAAATTTCAATGACTAGATGGGAGGAGCATTGTTTTAACGTGAACCCACCGAAAATTAATTCATTGGCGTAAACCATAAGACGAATAAAAAATCACGCTTCACTTCGTTGAACATGATGATTAAGCCATTCAATATATACAGGCAAGTAAATCACAAAGAAGTCTACTCACCTCTTGGCCTTTTCTCTACTGGAGGCCCTTTAGTTGAAGCCGAAAAATAATCCGCTATCGAACACGTTCTTTTCTGAGCCGCCATGCTCATGTGCTCGCAACACTAATACATTTCAGGTAGTCGTTTATGAAGCACAGTTCTTTTCGCAATGTGTTATGAGGCGATTCTTGTTTTTAACACATAACGAACGAGGGGATTTCATGCAGCGTGTAATAAAGTGGAAATTGCACGGCAAAGTATGTTTTACACTCGATAAGACTCATCAAGAAAAGGGCACTATTGTAACTTAAAACTGTTTTTGATCGTTCCTTGTAATAAAAAGAAGTTCTTTGAGATGTAAAGCAGCCGGGCAAAGTCGTGTTCACAGCCGGTCAATTTGCCCGGTGCCCAGCCCTTAATGAAACCCCTGTATTAAAGAAACTGCATAGTACCATGATTGAATGACTTAATGAATACCAATGTTGAGCTTGTACCGAATGACTTAAGTCTTTCCCGATAATAATCGATAACAATCAATAAAGCAATCATTACAGACTTCTATAGGAAACTGAGATTAATTGAAGTCACAACTTTTTTTCTTTATCGACGTCTTTCAATTGATATCATAAATTGATTATCAGTTTATCAATTAACTACACCTGGATTTTTAACAGAACTTTCGCACCACCAACACAGCAATCAATAACCTTATCCACAAGTTGCAATGTTCTAGGATCTTTTTTATTTTGTTGTGTCTCAAAATGGTGCTATTACGCTTATCTACTAATAATTACAAATTCTACAACTAGCTATATACTAATTATTAGTATATAGCTAGTTGTAGAATTCTTTCCTTTTCAAGAATATTGTACCAAATCGTTACATCATATGCAATGATACGAATTTCATAATCAACATGTAAATTTACCATTATATATGTGAGTAATATATATTGTAAATCTTGTCATGTGCATCCTCTCACAGTTTCATGTTACTTGTTGACTGGCAATTTAAAATAACAATTTTTAAATGACCTTACGAAGTAAACATAGTTTTTGGTAGCATTATCTTATTCTTGAGAACAGATTGAGCTCTGACTTTGATTCCTGTTGAAGAAAATAAAAGAAATCATTTTGTTAGGAGAGAGAGAAATAGGGACTTGTAGAATAAGGAATGATGTGTTACTTTAAGTCGCTTGTGAATGAATAAAATATTGTATCACTTTTTCGATTTGTCAGAGGTCCTGTAAACAAAAATAACTTATTTTTTCTGCGCTTGGCTACGAAGATGTTCTTGAATCTAAGCGTGGGAAAATTTACCCAGCTGACTTGGCATTTTGATTGGTTCATTCGACTTTTATGTCTACTGTGATTGGCCAATGACATCAAAGAATCATGTCTTCATATCAAAGCGCAGGAAACTGCAGCCAGCTGACTTGGCATTCTGATTGGTTCATTTGACTGACTGCATCTGCTGACAGTGGCCAATAACATCACTTGGTTTGATTTTGGGGTTTACACACCTCAATTAAAGGAACTATGTCAGGGTTCTTTGGTATTACTTTGAAACCCTAAGAACTCACTGAAATCAAGGAAATCCCTGAAAGAATGGTTCAGTTTTATTTCAAAATGACGTTTAACTGCGTGTAGGTCTTTAGCATTTAATGACCAGGATGGAATCAGATCGCAACTTGAAAGAACGGGGCCAAATTTTTCAAGTTAATGACCAACACTGATGATGCTTAGCTTCCCCTTCCCTTTAGAGTTAAGAGCACAACAACCCTTGGTTACAATCTCAGCTCAGCTATAACCAAAAACCTTTGGTGCTCACTTTGACATAGGGCCCCTTTACGACAAAGCAACAGATTAACAGCAGCAAATAATACCTTGTGAGAGCGAGCTTTGTTGAATACATTCCAAAATCTAAGAGTTTCATCTCCTGCTCCAGTAACTATGGCTTCACCATCAGGAGACACGGCCTGTGAACACAACAATTATTATATGCAATTATATTTTTGTAGACTACAAGTAGTACCCATTTTTCCTCAGGGATAGTAGAGTGAGCAAAACGTGAGCACGCATGAAAATCACCCCAAGCGAGAAAGACGAGAAGCCATGGGGAGAGAGAAAAACAAAGCCCTGCTACGTCTCGCCTTCCTTGCATTTCGTTTGCTCTGAGGAACAATGGGACTACTCGTAGTCTAGAAAAAATGTTACATATAATTTATATAGTTGAGCATTTGAGTTCTCATTGCATTGTTTTCTGATTGAAGCGGGCCGGGTTTAACAATTGTACAAGGAAAATTACATCTACCAGGGTATTAAAGATATAAAATAGTGCCACATTCAAGCATCATATATATGATTTTAAATGTTAGGTTGCCATACGGCCAGGTAGGGGTATTTTCCACTGGTAAATCAGGGTTGTCACTAAGATTTCAAGTTACCAGGCAAATACGACAAGTAGGCGGAGAATCAAACAGCTAAGGATTTCTTTTGGTTCTATTTTTCTTCTGTTGTCCTATGGAAGTAGCTCCTCTGGTGTAAGTATCATCGACCCCCTTCAGGGGTCGGGTGCCGCCTTAATGACAGCTCTGGGTAAATATACAATTTGTTTTTATCACAAAGGTGACCTGAAATTCACACAATCCAATTATGTAGCCTCACAGAACTGGAAAAGTACAATACATTATTTATTTGTAGCTTAGGAAAATCTCAATCTGCGAGCAAATTTTATGACCATGCTCTAATAACAGCCTCAAGATTCATTTCAAATAAAAAAGCAGTTTCTGTGAACCTTGAAAAAACCCTGATGATTTCACTTACCAAGTATAAAACTCTATAGGAATGTCCGGTTAACTTTGCTACTTGAGTAAGGGAGGGATATTTCCATACAAGTATCTGGTTCTGTGAATAACCATGTGTGCTGACCTAGAATAAATGTGGGTGACACTTTAATACACATGTATGAGCATTTTAGCCAATAATGAAAAACCACAACAATGGCATCTTGGAACAAAACTAAAAACATGTCCCAGTAAATAAAAACAACAAGAAAAAAGGAAACAATTGAAAACTCACCAGTTCATTAGAATGCTTTGACCATGCTAGGTTGCACACCTAAAGTAAAAAAAAGTGTTGCTGTTTATCAAACTAAAGACAGCTGCTAAATTTCAAATTTAGTGAAGTTCTGAGAAATGTCAATTATTTTCAAATTGCCTGGTAAAGTGCACACAGGAATTCTCTCTGTCATATTCTTTGGATAACTATGTTTTACAAAGAGAACTTTCATAGAAATTTGACAAGCATTGTGAATTTTGTAACGGTTACCCTAAGAAGAGCTAATCAAGTCAGAAACAATACCTGTGACCCAGTGTCTACACACTGTAGTGGCTGTCCAGTTAAAGTGTTCCAGAATCTAATGCATCTATCAGCTGTTCCACCCCCTGAGGATAGTAGACCATGCTAAAAAAAACCACACGCAGCCAATTAGTACTCTAGCGCCTGATATTTTCGCTATAAACAATGCAAACACAAACACAAGCAAGGGAAAGAATAAAATCCTTGTTTCATTGTGAAAACAGCTCAGATGCAAGAACAAAAACCAAAACATTGTCTAAATTATTTTGCCTTCTTGTGCTTGTAGTTCTGTTTACACTGTTGCCTTTGTATCAGCACTCATTTTTACTTAATTGCACAAGACCCAAGGTTATGTTTATCCTGTGTTGTGAGTGAAACACAAAAAATGGCACTGCATGATTAACTTCCCTTCACATTTTCGTGATTTAAACGTTTTAAGTTCCATTCACTGTCTTGTGAGGATGAGATAGACTGAGACAGTACAAATCAATGTAATGTTAACTTTAAATTTTTAAGTCTGATGAGAAAATATAGATCAACTACACCAGCATTCACACACCAGTTTTTCAGAAGGTGGATAGTGCTATTTCCCTATTAAAAGTTATCCAATAAATAGCCATTTATCTATGGAAAGTCTTATCGAACATTTGAAGAACTGGGGACAGAAATATATAGTTTCTTTTATCCTAAAATGTGCATGGAAAGAGTACTACCTGATGAGGAGACCATGCTATGGCTTTGACAGCTGCTGAGTGTTCACCATACTGTTGCTCTGGAGACACGCTAGACAGACTCCACACCAGTAACTTGTTATCGTTGCCTCCTGACGCCAGATGCTGGTGATCTGGGGACCACTTTAATCCACACACCTATCAAAGGATAGATATTTTATTAACTAGTCAGAGGTAATCACTGATTACAGATCCGCTATGCATTCATCACTTATGAAAAAAGTATGGAAATGAAATCAAGTCGAAAGGGGCCCAGTTTCCCGGCTGAGGTGCCCCTGATAAAATTAACAGGGGCAGCTAATTTGCAGTCGCCCGTGATAACTCGAAAATTTCTGCGTTAGTGCCACAGGAACACAACATTAGGAATGCAATAATTAATATTCTATTATCAAAATAATACAATGGACCTTTGTCATATTACCATCCTAATCTTATAAAACCACCTCATTTATTTTGATCATTTTATTGTGTAGTCTGTGCCATAGATGAAACTAAAACTTAGTTTGTGAAACAAAGTCAAAATCCTTGTTCTAGGTCGCCACCTGTGTACCAGGATTTGAGTACGCGCCATGGTTGTCCTGTTAAAAATTGCATTTGACAGGTCAATTTGCCAATCAGATTGAAGGGAAATTTCGAAGTGCATTTCCAGTAATCCACTGAATCTGTTGGAGGCCCAGAACAAGGACATTGGTACTGCTTTGCAGACATTACTAACCAGGGTTAAGTTACATGTATGTCTGCAATGCAGGTTAATAAATTTGTCATTATGATAACTCCAGTCATTCTCTTAATATCCAATAGCACTAAAGAGTATAAAATTTTTCAAGAATTACCTCCTGCCTGTGACCTATAAGCCTTCTCTCCACTGGGGTTGATGATCTGGCATCTCGTTGAAGAATAAGCCGGTCTCTACTTCCAGATGAAAGCATGTCTCCATTCCATGCCAAGGCACCTTTAAGAATGATTAACATTAGACAAGTACCATAATGTGACATACATCATAATAAGTTGAGAATTCGTAGATACATAACAAAGGGGTGAAAGAATTAAGGCCCCTATTGAGGCCCTGCCAGGGTAAATTCCGACAAGTGACATGGCCCAAAAAGTAGCAACAGCGCATAAAATGAAATCGCGACAATAGACAACCTCCCTCGGCCAAATTGCGACAGTGACGGTAAAGCCGACAATAAGCGACAAGCATTTATAAACACCGACACGAGACATTTTAAAATTCAGACAGGCGACATGGGACCCCCCCCCCCCTGTCAGGGCCTCCCTATTGCCTCTTGAATAGAGCAGAAAATTGCCTTAATCTGTTTGAATCCAGTTTTTAATCATCATTAATTTTGACTGCATTCCAAAGGCTTAATTCATAAATTGCAACTGCAAATAAACTTATAAATGTTCATAGACAATAACAATAAGAAAAGTGAAGACAAGACAAGAATAAATGGCTATATTTGATTACTGACCTACTCTTGCCGTATGACCTTCTATTGTTGACACTCTTTTTTGAGCTCCAGCATCCCATATTTGGACAAGTCCCTTGTGAGTTCCAACAGCGACAAGACCACTCTTTTTACAAAGAAAATAACCCCATTACTGTCAAACTAAGAAAACCGTGAACACCTGAAAAATTTCAGGAATGTTGATTGTGTACTGGCCAATCACAATAAAGTTCAGGATACGCAAGCAAATGTCAAAACCACAAACTAATTACTGTTGCTGTTTGTGGTTTAGTTATCTCGCGCCTTATTGGCTTATTTTTCGCAACACAATAACATTCTATAAATATTTCTGGTGTTTACAGTTTTATGAGTTTCACAGTAATTGAATGGTCAATAGTTTTATGTTTGTGTTGTTACAATGTAAGTCTGTCAAACAAATCCTATGGGGGGGTCATCCTTGTCAACAACAATTTCTTGAAAGGTACCAATTCACTGTGAATCTGATGAGTCACTATTAATAAAATAAGATTGGCAATTTTTTAAATGATTTTTGTTTCCCAGTTTTCCAAGGTTGAAGTCCAAGCAGAATTCTCATAAAGTACATACATGTAAAACAAAAAAAAAATTGGACCATCCACGCAAACTGTGCATCAACACAGGGGAATCAGTAGTGGCGTTCATGAACACAGGGCATCCAAAGAGGAAGAATAATTTTCAGAATTGTTGCAACCTTACATAACCTTACAATTAATATTTATTTGTTTGCAACAGGTTTTTGACTTCACTATAGAAATTACATGCCATTTCAAACTAATCACATACCCTTTCAGACCAAGAAACTGAAGTTACAGAATCACCATCAGCAGCAAGATCACAAAGTTTTGTAACCTAAACATGGATAACAAACGTCAAACAAACAGACAAATAATACATTGAATCACTTTAGTGGAAACTTTTCATGCATGTATTTTGAAAAACACTATAAGGAGGGAAATATTGAATACATGTATACTAACAAAGTATTTGCCTACCTGGCTGGTACAAGCACTCCAGAGATAAACACATGTTCCAAGGCCAACACTTAAAATATTCTGTCCTGACCAGTCCACCAGATTTAGGTAAAAGTCATCCTATTACGAGAAAAACAGTAATACCAAATATGTTGTTTGGGGCTCCTGGACTTATCACCTAATGCTTCAAAAAAGAACAGCGGGGTGATTTTGAAGAGAAAATAATTTGCAAAATTTATGGAAAACTAATGAAAACATTTCTGTTTAGTATACTGTAACATTGTCAGTAAGAATGGTCAAGTTTCACTTAGTGCATCTTCAAACTTACCTGTAGTTCTGGAGCATCTAGCACTTTAAATGGTATCTTGGAAATTTTTCTTGTTGACTGATAAAAAGAAACCAAAGTGTAAGACTTATTATAGTGTGTGTATGGTATAAATGACATGGAAACTGTGGACTTTTAGCACTTATTTGTTGGGCAGTGGCTTTTGCTGAAATTTTAGAACAAATTGTCTCTATGACAGTAAACTAAGACACTTAACAATACAAATTTGGTAGCAGAGAGGCGAATGGCCTCACATCCAGTTGATGTGCATCACTGAAAAACCACTTTGTACCTTTGCTTAAGCTGCCTTATATAACACAAAAGAATCACCTATTTCTGTCAAAATGCAGGATGAATAAATGTATGCAGTAACATCGACACAAGTCAAGTGGAGAGAGAAAGTGACTCATTTAAGTGTTCAGTCATTTCACCTGAAATAAACATATATTTCTGCACTTTCATTAATATATATACACAAAATAACAACTCCGTCTGCTTCAAAAGCTGTTTGCAATCAGCTTCCCAGACTGATGCACTACTGTTTCTAACCTTTCTTGGTGATCGAAGGAGTCTTTGACTGAAAAAGAGCAGAAATCGTACATATTAATGATGGCCATTGCTGGAACATGATGGTTCTAAAGTCAACGTTGAATTATACCACAGCTATGGTATGTTAGTACAATAGTAACACAAAAAGTTCGAAATGGTTGTGAGAAAATATCATAAAATAAAATAATGTGTTTGTCAAGGAATGTACCTTTTCTTTCCTACTGGTGAAAGAGAATATGAAGCTACTAATTCTGTATCATCTTGCTTACTTCTTTTTACCTGGTACTGAAAGAGATGAGATTATCATTACAGTGATCAATGGAAATTAAACAAACATTTTCTGCATGAACATGAACAGTGTTTCCGATCCTGGTGTTGACGCCATATGTGGGTAATTGAGTTTGTTGTTTTGTTGTTGTTGAGTTTGTTGTTGGTTCTCTTTTTTGCTCCACGAGGTTTTTCTCCTCTTCTCAAAAACCGGCATTTCCAAATTCCAATTCAATCTGGAAAGCACTGTCAGACAAGTTTTAAAAACAAGTTCATAAGAACTCCTAAATGCTTCATGGGTAAACAGATTACAATTTACAATTGTTTTTATCACCAGATACATATATGTTCTGAATATTTCCTCACATGCACTTGTGATTAAACACCCCCTCAATATTTTTTTCATTTCACAACCTACAGTAAAAAGTAGACGACTAAATTATTAGTTTTCTCAAACCTGAAAAATGCTATGTATGTGGTTACTATTGCTAGACAAGGCTCTTCTCTCTTCATGTGGGACTTCCTGTATGGATCAAACAATATGTATATTAATCAAACAGTTATTGGCACGTCTATATTTGACATTAACAAGAAAAATATGAGCAGAACCATAATAATTGAAACAGCCAATTTATTCGGAAATAGGCAAAATGAACATCTGTATTATCATTATTCTATTAAAAAATTTACAACTTCCTCATAGTGACTATTGGTTATCGGCAAGATTAGCTCAGTCAGTAGAGTGTTTGACTGCAGAGTGGGAAGTCATGGGTTTGATTTCCTGGGGCCTGACCAATACTCAGGGTCTTAATAAAAATAACTGAGAAATGAAGGAACTCTCTTTGCACTGCAAGGGGCTAGACCTTCGCGTGGCTCAGATGACCATGTGAAAAGGCAGTCCTGTCTCCAGTTGGAGACGCAAAAATATTGTCCGAATTAGTGCTCTTGTGCTAATACCTTATTACACTCAAATAAAGTGCATTTTTTTTTACTATGGGTCAGAGTGGACTATACAAGTGTCTGTAAAATTTTCAGAGAAACCAATGTTTACACTGGAATAATTATTATACATTGTATGGCCTTACTTTCAGGTCTTCAATTCCTGCTCCAAGAAGTTCATTCTTCAAAAGACACTGATAAGCCATTCCCTCTGGAAAAAACAGTACACATACAGAGCTTTATACTATAATAGTTTTAAAATTTCATTTTTACCTTATTTGGAAAGTTCAAGCTAGACCTAGCTTTAAGCTCTCGAAAAAAAGAGAAAACAATGCATTGTTTTTTTTGTATTAAAATAAAATTAATATTGTGAAATGTTAATATACAAACCTTTTGAATCAACACTGGCATCCCTGAAAAGAAAACAGTTTTCTATTTAGCATCTAAAAATCTCCACAAATTAAGCACAAACAAAATCAAGAGTGTTGTTGCTGTAATTATTATTTTGTGCAATCCCAATAATAAGTTACAGCCTTAGGAAGGTACAGCTGTATTAGAATAAGTTTTAAACTGAATTCTTACTTTATTTTTTTTAAGTCCTTTTAAGCATAGGAATTGTTTATGGCAGACCCCCAATTTCTTTTCCAACTTGCTTACCAGTGGTCACTTTACAATTTTGTATGTTTTTTATTTTATTTTAACTGATCTACACACCATATTTATTAGCCCCAACAGCAGAGATAAGTTTCAAATACGTTGTACTAACCCTTGATGTACAGTGTATTTGATAGTTTGAGTTTTTGTGAATTTCGCAGGATTTAACTGCTCCAAGACAGCGTGAAATATCAGAAGCCCTGTTTATTAAATTTACATCCTGTAATAGAATACTTAATGCCAGGGATACAAGGGGTTTTGAAAACTGACCTTGTCACTGCACTATTCTTTGCTGGGTCACTGTTTTCCTAAAAATAGAACAATAAATTGAAGCAAAAACAGATGATGACTGATGATGACTTTCTACACACAATTTTAAAAAATAACTATCATAATTTTAATGATTTATGATCAGGACACTTATTTCAACAAAATGATATATATGACTTTTTACCAGATTTCCCCCATCTGTTTGAAGCTTCCCTGATGTTGAAAAAAGATACAGGGTTTTGATCAAGTTTAAGGAGGGTAACATACCTGTATGAAATTAAAATTTAGTTGCATTGCTGGACTGGTACGACTTGGAATAAACCTTTATGACAAAAATACATTATCCAATCATTAAAATAAATAAATAAAAAATAAAATTAATGTAAAATTTCATAAAGATGAAAGTTCACAGTTCTTTTAGGTTTTTGAAACACAATAACATTAATTTTAAAGACAGTTCTTAAATTCCTTGAATTTAAATTCAAATTTCTTGAATTCCCTTACCTATCTCCAAACTTTTCTCTGCCAGGAGAACTGACTGGACTTAGATGAGGTGAGCTAAAATGCCTTAGTCCACTCAAACAAGGCTGTCAGAAAAGATGATGCAAATATATTTTCAGGGCTTGTAATTTGATACAAGTCAAGGTTTTAATTAAAATAAATTACTTTGGCCAGTGATGTCCCTGCAGTCCGGACATCCTTGGGAAGGCAACAAGACAAGTTTCCTTTCTGGTGAATGTCTATAATTTTTTGTTAGAGAAGAAAGGACATTTAGCCTTCATGTGTCTACGACTACCAGGGCTGTCATAAATGCCAGGGCACAGGGATTTTCCCCGGCTATTATGAATGTGACCCCTGCCTACTTTTGTAGGAAAATAGAAGAAAAATAAAACCAAACAAAATCCCCAGCTGTTGGATTCCCTCTCTACTTGTACCATTAGTAACCTGAAATTTTAATGACAGGCCTAGACTACTGTCCGCCTTGCAGCCTTAAAAAGAACTGATGATTGCACAGCTCAAACTAACAGCCCATCAATGGACAATGCCTGGCCAGAATGGTATCTTGACTGGCTGAAAGCATCACTCACTGGTCAAGTTGACCAGTTACGCACACTCTTATTCTAGAATGAACAGCCAAATCTTCAACTGTAAACCTTAGATTTTCTCAGTTTGTAAAAATAAAACATCTTCACCGACAGAAAATTACACAAGGATTAATCAGTATTTTTTTCCAATTTTTTGACCGGTCAGAAACAAGGCTAGACCAAGCAAAAATTTCTTTGGCTGGTCGTTGTGTCTGGCCACCCTCGGAAAATTATTTTGAGCCCTGCCATTGGGAAGCAATGAACGGTAAGACATACATGTAACGTAGTATACTACCTTACAGCGTTAATACTTACAGAATTGGACAGAGGACTCCGTCCATTTGGTTGTCGAAGAAGTCGTCTCTCATACTCTGGGTCCATTTTTGAACAGCTGTTATGTTGGCTTAGTTGACAATGTTTTGAATAAAGTGATAGTGTTTTTCAATTCTGCTCTGAAGATCAAAATTACTTCACACACTGTAAATATAAGCTTAAATACAGTGTATTTCCTAGGGAGAGACTACACTGTAGACAAGTCAATCTCTTCCAAATCCTGACAAGTCGTAATGCGGTGTATACTTCTTCGCTGTGAAGGAGTGAAAAACAAGAAGCATGCAATTCCAACAAACAGTCACGCTGGTACTATGTATTCAGCAGTACTGTAGACAGAATCACTCGTTGTTGTGTTCGGTGTCAGTTCTAGACTCGTGGACGAACATAAACATCTGATTTGCCAACCATTTAAGCTTATAAACAATGTCGACTTTTCCCAGAAGTAACGGTCTTCAATATTCGACCAAAACACTTCTTACGGGCATTATTTCCAGCTTCACTTGCTCTCCACTTGGGATATGTGGTGAACGAAAATCAATGTGGAATAAACTTAAGCTTAAGCTTAATTCCAAAGCAAGCGTTGTCAATTTCACTTCAGCTGAGACGTTTCCTAGAATTCCATACAAACGTTCCACAGTCAAACGAAGAAAAACCATGTGCTTTTCGTTGTTACATTCTCCGTCGTTAAGAATGACACGTTGCAATGAAGAAAGATAGCCAAACGTGCCAGAAGTTTATCGATTCACGTGTAGCAAGCTTTTCAAAGCTGGTAATTTGAAATGCAAACGGCCGGAGTCTTGTTTCCTTTGACGCTTTTCAATAAACATCCGGGAAGTCAAACGGCAGAAAGTAGAGCGGAATCTGGGATCTAGTGCCGTTCCAGTCTGCGCGCAGCAATCAAAATGGCGGAAGAATGTGATGTGTGTGATGTGTGCGATATTATATTTTTTTCACGATTCATGACTTGCATGTAAATAAATGTAACTGGAATTTAAACAGCCATGTTTTTAAAGGCATTTCGAGTTAAATCCAATACTGCAATTCGAGGTTCCGATCGGTAAGTTACAGTTCCATAAAATTTATCAAAAATCCTTTCTTTCACTTGATGATGCATGATGGTTTTGTGGTTTTGATAACAGATTACATTAAGCTTAACTGTGTATACATTTTTTATTGTCAGACGGAAACTGAGATCAGATGTTAGTAATAGCTTCCCCAGTTTGTCACTAGATGAAATATCAGAATTAATACCAAACAAAGAGGAGATTTCTGTGATGCGTGTAATGACTCACTCTGGACAGAATATCACAGTATTTTGTCTCAGTGGAGAGCCAATATTCTTTGAAGTGGAGAAGAGAGTGATCCCCACAGGTAACTCTAATCCCACAATAGTCTAAAGTGCAGCTCCATCCAATAGGGGTACTTCTGTGTTTGAGCTTTAGGTAAAATGGGACATTCCATTTAACTTACCCCCACCATGAAAGCATACCGCAAAATTCCGAAAATAAGCTCCTCCATGTATAAGCCCCACCAAATATAAGCCCCCCAAACCAGTAATGCAAAAAGCCCTCCGTTAAATCGCCCCTCCAAATACAAGCCCCCCGGGGGCTTGTACTTGGAAAAGTGCCCTCAAACACAAAGTAAAACCAAGCAAAAACGGTAAATTTACTTCCAACTATAAGACTAGCCCAATTGATTTTGAAACGCAAATTTCCCTCCGTAGATAAGCTCCTCCAAAAATAAGCCCCTTAAGAATGGTCTTTGAAAAATATAATTCGTGGGCTTCTCTTCAGAATTTTACAGTAATTTAAAAGTATTCAGAAGGACCCAGTCAGAATCTGATATTTAATTACAACAAAGGGTTTCGGTATTAGCATTTATCCACAAGGGCCTGTCGGAATCACGGATTGCTTGGATTACAACAAGGCCTGTGGAAATTGGGAGATAAGGGACCTGTAGGAATCACAATTTACAAGATAAGGGCCTGTCAGAATCTTGCCCTTCATACTGTGTGGTGAGATAAGGACTTGCAGGAATCGCCATGTAAGAGATAAGGGCCTGTCAGAATCATTCCTTCCATAGGCGTGGGGGGAAGGGGGTAAAAATAGAATGTCCCAATAAAAGGGTAGCGATTTTACCAGCTGAAGTTTGTGAAAGGGTAGGAAAATCTCTCATTTCTTTAACCCTTTAAGGCCCGATGTCCACAAACCAATTTTATTCTTCTTAAGAGGTTTATCAATAAAGTGGTGACCAATGAAAAAATTCTTTGATCTTGTAGTGAATTCTCTCAAATAACTGCACAAGGAAATGTATCAATTATTATTAATTCTCATAACCTTCCCCTTGATTATCTGTTGATGTGGTTAGGAGAAAATTTATGTTGGTCACTATTGGGACATAAAGGGTTCATGCAATTGTTCCCTTTTAGAAAAGGGATGCTGTGTTTAAAGAAGGTATGGGGAAGGGGTACCATTTTTCAAGGAAGAAGGGATATGGATACCGTAAAATTCCGAAAAATAAGCCCCGGGGCTTATATTTTTCGAAGACCCCTTTTGAGGGGCTTATGTAAGGAGGAAAATTTGTGTTTCAAAATCGATTGGGCTAGCTTATAGTTGGAAGCAAATTTACCAGTTTTGCTTTGTTTTATTTTGTATTTGAGGGCAATTTCCAAGTACAAGCCCCCGGGGTCCTTATATTCGGAGGGGCGATTTCACGGAAGGTTTTTTGTGTTACGAGTTTGGGGGGCTTATATTTGGAGGGCCTTATTTTCGGAATTTTACGGTATATGAAAAGGGAACTTATTAAAAATGGTGAAAGGGTGAGGGGTCACTTAGACCTCAAGGCACAGCTTCCACCCTAACCCCCTTCCCCCCCCCACCACCACTTCCCCAGCCTATGACTGTATTATATTACATAAACTATGTTTTTAGCGAGTGCATTTTGTGGAGTTTATGATTGTACACTGGATTTATAGCCTCAAAAGTACATGAGTATATATGTTGTAGGTATAATCCTTTCTCAAGATAAACCAGTTTTCCACCTGTTTTTCTTGGGTTCTAATCCTGGTAACCTAAGCTAAAATTTATAGTGGTTAAACCACCGAGAAAGATTTAACTTACAACAGGGTTCTTTTAGTAGGTGCAGCTTGGCAACTGAATGCAATAAGCAATTTCAGGTTTTCCCTCTCTCTATTTACCCTATTTCCCCCAAAAGTAGATGGCTAAAACCTCCAAGCAACCTGTTTTTTAACCCTGTGCCGACACTTAATGAGAACCCTGACTCCAAGACAAAGAACTGTTAATTTAACATTTTTTAATGCTCACACTCTACTGGGATTCACACAGAGCTTTGCCTTGTATAAAATATTAATCAGAACAATAGCAAAATATAATAAATGAGATGATATGTGTGGAGAGAAGAACACAGAAAAAAATTCTGAGTTACAGATGAGAATTAAACCCACGACCAATTCCATGCACTAGTCGGATGCTCTAACCACTGAGCTACTGAGAACTCAGTTGTGAGCAGGTCAGTTGTGGGCTGACATAACTACTGCATTGCGCAGTCACATTATGTGAAGTAAACACACAATATTTACTGCATCTCGCAGTCACTTGAATACTCTATGAGCAATGAACAATAAACGAAGTGATATGTTTGGAGAGAAGCAAAATACTGTGCAATACCTTTCTGTAAAATGACATCGCTGTAGAAAGTCATGGACAATTAATATGCTTTATATCCTGTATGAAAGGGATAAAGGGAATTGGTGTGCTAAGAATGGTCTCCTCTCACCCTCCTTATACACCCACCATGTGGGGTAATGGTACTAGAAACACCAGTACCAAAGAAGTACTTTGATGATCCACATTCTCTCAGTTATCAATATATATATTTTTCATTCTCTAGTTTATACACTCTGGAAATTCCCTGACTTGCTGCTCAGCTTCACAACATGGCCACCAGTTTTGGAAAAACTTAAAGGAGGGGCAGGTGTGTGTATTGTTGGGTTATCTGATTTAAGATTTTACCTTTATGCTGCCTTTTATCCTTAGGAGTGAGAGCAAGTTTAAGCTGTTCTCTGATCAGGTCGTACAGGTCATGGAAAACCTGGAAAGTCATGGAATGTAATAGTCGATCCTTGGCGTCATAGAAAATTAAAGTTTTGTTTCATAGATTAGTTACTGCAGATGACGAGGCAAGTACAATTTAAGATAAAGAGGAGTACAGAACAAATGCCACGCATTTTGGGGGACACCAGTGTTTGTGTCTTTTGAACTGTGTAAGGTCCAAAAATAACCTAAAACAAGGAAAGTTTTTAAAATTTTGGAACGTGACAGCTCACCTAAGGTCTTGAAAAACTTCAAAAGGTCATGAAAAAAGTCATGGAAAGTCATGGAATTTGAAGAGCTAAAAGAGTACAAACCCTGTCTGATTAATCACCTCTTTCAAACAATTGGACCATTTGCTGACCATTAACATATTAATCTTCACTGAAACTCCCTTTATTAGACTTGATGCTTCCTGGTGTTGTGGTACCATCTGAAGGGGTGTCAGCTTTGGGCCGCTTTGAAAAGGGTGCAATCTGCAGTGTGTGCCTCAATGAAAACAGGTAAGGCTGTCTTTCTGTCAAGTGCATCTTCAGTACAGCCTCTATTAAAGTGTGATTGTGGCTTTGTTTATTTCCTATTTCATATTGATGACATGCTCAGAAATTTGGCAGTATTATTTGTCAGAGTGCAGGTTGGCTTCTTATGATTTCTGTGTTTCATATGGCCTTTTTTCTAAACAATATGCATGCTGCATAAAGTTAAATGTCCTTAATGTGTCACATTTTTAAAAAAATATACAGAGTTTCAACCTATGCTTCCAGCAACAGTGAAAAACAACCTAAGTTGATCAAACCAGCACAGGTGCTGTCAGTATTACTACAAAAATTAATAAATAACTGTTCCACTATTACTGTCACTGTGTCACTATTACTGTTCCACTATGACTGTTCCACCATGACTGTTCCACCATGACTGTTCCACCATAACTGTTCCACCATACCTGTTCCACCATGACTGTTCAAATATTACTCTTCCACCATAACTGTTCCACCATGACTGTTCCACCATGACTGTTCCACCACGACTGTTCCACCATGACTGTTCCACCATAACTGTTCCACCATGACTGTTCCACCATGACTGTTCCACCATGACTGTTACATCATGACTGTTCCACCATAACTGTTCCACTATTACTGTTCGACCATTACTGTTCCGCCATGACTGTTCCACTGTTACTGTTCCACCATAACTATTCCAACCATGACTGTTCCACTATTACTATTCCACCCTGACTGTTCCACCATGACTGTTCTACCATGACTGTTCCACTAATACTGTTCCACCATGACTGTTCCACCATAACTGTTCCACCATACCTGTTCCACCATGACTCTTCAAATATTACTCTTCCACCATAACTGTTCCACCATGACTGTTCCACCATGACTGGTCCACCATGACTGTTACATCATGACTGTTCCACCATAACTGTTCCACTATTACTGTTCGACCATTACTGTTCCGCCATGACTGTTCCACTGTTACTGTTCCACCATAACTATTCCAACCATGACTGTTCCACTATTACTATTCCACCATGACTGTTCCACCATGACTGTTCTACCATGACTGTAACACTATTACTGTTCCACCATGACTGTTCCACCATGACTGTTCCACCAAGACTGTTCCACCATTACTGTTCCACCATGACTGTTCCACCAAGACTGTTCCACCACAACTTTTCCACCATGACCGTTCCACCATAACTGTTCCACCATGACTGTTCCACTATTACTGTTCCACCATAACTGTTCCACCATGACTGTTCCACCATAACTGTTCCACCATGACTGTTCCACCATAACTGTTCCACCATGACTGTTCCACCATAACTGTTCCACTATGACTGTTCCACCATTACTGTTCCACCATGACTGTTCCACCATTACTGTTCCACCATGACTGTTCGACCATTACTGTTCCACAATGACTGTTCCACCGTTACTGTTCCACCATGACCGTTCCACCATTACTGTTCCCGGATAACTTTTCCACCATGACTGTTCCGCTATTACTGTTCCACCACGACTGTTCCACCATAACTGTTCCACCATGACTGTTCCACCATGACTTTTCCACCATGACTGTTCCACCATAACTGTTCCACCATGGCTGTTCCCCCATGACTGTTCCACCATTCCCTTTCCACCCTGACTGTTCCACTATTACTGTTCGACCATTACTGTTCCGCCATGACTGTTCCACCATGACTATTCCACCATTACTTTTCCACTATGACTGTTCCACCTTGACTGTTCCACCATAACTGTTCCACCATGACTGTTCTACTATTACTGATCCACCATGACTGTTCCACCATTACTGTTCCACCATGACTGTTCCACCAAGACTGTTCCACCACAACTGTTCCACCACGACTGTTCTACCATAACTGTTCCACCATGACTGTTCCACCATAACTGGTCCACCATGACTGTTCCACTATTACTGTTCCACCATAACTGTTCCACTATTACTGTTCCACCATAACTGTTCCATCATGACTCTTCCACTATTACTGTTCCACCATGACTGTTCCACCATTACTTTTCCACCATTACTTTTCCACCTTGACTGTTCCACCATTACTGTTCCACCATGACTGTTACACCATAACTGTTCCACCATAACTGTTCCACCATGACTGTTCCACCATGACTGTTCCACCATAACGGTTCCACTATTACTGTTCCACCATTACTGTTTCGCCGTGACTGTTCCACTATTACTTTTTCACCATAACTGTTCCACCATGACTATTCCACCATTACTTTTCCATCATGACTGTTCCACCTTGACTGTTCCACCATAACTGTTCCACCATGACTGTTCCACTATTACTGTTCCACCATGACTGTCCCACCATTACTGTTCCACCATGACTGTTCCACCATGACTGTTCCACCATGACTGTTCCACCATAACTGTTCCACCATGACTGTTCCACCATGACTGTTCCACCATGACTGTTCCACCATAACTTTTCCACTATTACTGTTCCACCATTACTGTTTCGCCGTGACTGTTCCACTATTACTTTTTCACCATGACTGTTGACCATAACTCTTCCACTATTACTTTTTCACCATGACTGTTCCACTATTACTGTTCCACCATGACTGTTCCAACATGACTGTTCTACCATGACTGTTCCACTGTTACTGTTCCACCATGACTGTTCCACTATTACTGTTCCACCATGACTGTTCCACCATGACTGTAACACTATTACTGTTCCACCAAAACTGTTCCACCATGACTGTTCCACCAAGACTGTTCCACCATAACTGTTCCACTATCACTGTTCCACCATGACTGTTCCACCAAGACTGTTCCACAATCACTGTTACATCTTTTCTTTTCCAAAGGCGAGGGGAGAGACTTTCCCCTTCCCCTCTTCCTTTTTTATTATTTATTTTACTTTTGCTTTAACTGTCTTGCAATAACTTTGTAGGAAACTCTCGTTACGCCGGCTATAAATGATCCTGAGAGCTCTTTTATTGTTATTTATAGAGCTCCTGTGGCTGTTGGAGTGACATTAGTTTCTAGTCGCGATTTACTTGAGGATGGAATGCGAGGAAAAGGAGTAATGATCTACCATGTATATCAGGATCTTTTATGGTTTGTAAGCATATGATTTTCCAACATTTGGCATGCGGTGGTTACTGTAGGGTGCATGTGATGTGGATGTTTATCCACTAAGAAACCCCAAGTAGGGTTTAGGCAAATTGCATTCAGAAATTCACTTGTAAGCAGGTTGTTGAATCAAATCGCCGTTACTGTATACTCAGGAGTTGGAAGCGCACGTAAAATTACAGCAAAAAATGCAAAATCACCTTTTTAAGGCACCCTTTACATTCTCAGCTCTGAGTTTGTTCGAATCAGGGGCATAGCTATTATTTTTTTGTAGAGGGGGGTCACACTATAACACGCTCAGGGTACTTACCAGATTGGTATGTCAACATCCACGCCATGCAGCGGAAAGGATCGAATGATGTTGTCTATATAAACCAATTGGTAGCTAACTGCTCTAAACTTCATAATTTTAGTTACAAGCAAGAGCCTTACCATGGTCCACTGTAGTTTTTTTGCTCTTGCAAATGGAGTATGTACACTTTAACAATGGAAGAGATTTAAATGTTGCATGTTGATTCTTTCGGATTCGCGCATTTTTATGCACCTTAATTATGATGCAATTATCTCAGAAAGGGGGAGATTACGGGCATTTCACAATCCCCCTTGCTATGCCCCTGTCCCTACCATCTGAATCATATAGGGGCTTTTCGTAGAGCGTAATTGACAAATTCTAATATTCTACATGTAGACAAATGACTCAAGTTTATTTCTTTTTTTTCGAAGGGCTCACGGCAGCAAACGTCCGCTACCTCAGTTGACAGTTTTAGATGACGAAGTTAAAACTGATGAGGTGAAGAATTCATTGCAAGAACTTTCATTTGATGACGCTGAAGGGACAGAACATAACAAAAGTAGAGGTAAAACTTTTAGACAGATCCACTCATTGGAATTCAAATGTTTTTCGCACTCGCTGTATCAAACTTATAAACCCTTTTGATCGTCAGCAAAACACGTATATTGAGTTTAAAGTGACTGCCAGGCCCAAAGATTTCCCCGACATATTATACAGGTATCTCGTTAATGTAGAATTTGGTACTGATTGCTTCTGCTGCTGTGCTGACTTGGAATTTACAGAGGATTCTTATATTGATGGCTCCACAGACACTGAAGGTGGCTTCACTGGTGACGATGTTGAGAATAATGAGGCAAATGCTGCAAATGCGGCAGGTGACGAAAATGAACAGACACTCTCTGAAGAAGCCACTTATAAGGATGTAGAAGAAGAGGCAACCGACACTCCGAACTCGCTGTTAGGTGAACTATGATTTCTTTCAATTTTTCGTCAACAAATGTTTATCATTTCAGGAGTTTGCACTTTTCTGAACACAAACTTAACATAGCACATTTCATTTTACCATCATACAAGAACTATGCGGTCTTTGCTTACTACGATATTTACACTACTCACATTTCAATTCATTCATATTTTACTTGCCTTTCATTTCATTTTTTCCACAAGTGTTACGCAACCTGCACGCTTGTAAACTTAGCATTAACAACGACGTTCTAATTTTTATCACTAACAACTTCATCGTGAGGTTGTGAATTGAGGGCAAGGAGGACGTATGTCCCAAGTCTGAATTTCAAATACAGTCGTTTCGCATTTTGAGGAAAACGCCATGTTCCTGTCGGTGCATGCATTTAACCCATTTTTTGTTGTTTGTCGCCATTTCATCTACCGTTAAATTCCGAAAATAAGCCCCGGGCCTTATTTTTGGAGGGGCTTATATTCGGAGGGGCTTATCTACGGAGGGAAATTTGCGTTTCAAAATCGATTGGGCTAGCCTTATAGTTGGAAGTAAATTTACAGTTTTTGCTTTGTTTTACTTTGTTTTTCAGGGCAATTTTCCAAGTACAAGCCCCCGGGGGGCTTATATTTGGAGGGGCGATTTAACGGAGGGTTTTTTGAGTTACCAGATTGGGGGGCTTATATTTGGAGGGGCGTATACATGGAGGGGCTTATTTTCAGAATTTTACGGTATTCTTTGCCGGCTCTTTTAAGGCCATGTTGCATGTTGGAATTTTACCTTAACAGGACTGATCGTTTTAATGATTTTACTCTTTCATTATTTGTAGATAACATGGATGATCTCCTCGAGTATTGCTTCTTTTGTACATTGTTAAGGATGAAGAAAGTGGAACTTCCGTTATTGACTAGTACATTTTTTCGAACCTACCTCCTCCCTTCTTGGTAAGTTTTCTTTTTGGATGGACCATGGCTTCTCTTAATAATAATAATAATAATAATAATAATAATAATAATAATAATAATAACAACAACAACAACAACAACAATAATAATAATAATAATAATAACAAAATTAAAGAACTAACTCGTATTTAACAATTAAGCGTTTTACAAAGGAACACGTTAAACGCTTCATGTTTACTTTAGGTTCCACTGTAGATTTTGGTCGAAGGTCGTTCCTACTGTTCTTAACCTCTGGCAAAATGTCGTAAAGCGAGTGACCCTCTAAGCCCATAGCTTTAGTGCGTATTTTTTATCTCGTTTTTCTAAAAGATCGTGGATATAAATGCTATGCGAGATGTACCTACGCGTCTTACATCTATCCAAAAAAAGAAAACGCTGGATCGTTCTTAGTTCTTGTCAATTATAAGTTTCTAATAAGCGTCATAGTAGTAAATTTCTTAATTCTTTTTGCTCTATAACAACTAAAAATTTAGCTTGAAACTTTTAAACAGTATTATTACTTTTAACTAAGGTTTACTATAAAATGGACTAAGGACATCTGCTAATACCGGATTGGAAAAACGTGATCTACAGGCAAAGCCTTTTTTATGGACACCCGCTCAGAACGCAGACCTAGTTATTACGGACAGTTTTTCTTGCCCCTAGCCCTAAAATGTTCCTAAAATTCAACCCGCTAATTCAACCCGCTTAATACATACCCTTTCTCTGGTTCCCTCAGTGTCTATCCGTTAAGAGAGAAAGATAATTCATTAAATAAGGGGTCAAGTTTTTAGTTTATAGAACCAATCTTGTTACACAGCATCTCATATCTTAAGAATTAAATACATCTACTTATTGGTATTTTTAGTCCGGCTGGAAAATCCTTAGATATCAAGAAGTCCTCTTTCAAAAAGGTTAGTACATTTGATTTTAGAAAAATCATGTAGAAAGGGAACTTCACTGTTAACAGAAGTAGCCTGACAAAAGGCCCACATTTCTCGACACCCCACTGACTTCCCCAGGGTAACAGCTTGATAACCCTGCGTCACTATCTGTTACGCTGTCCTACCATATGTTACCCTTTGTTACCCTGTATTACCCTTTGTTACCCTGTGTTACCTTTTGCTACCCTTCTTGCCCTTTATTACCCTTGTTACCCCTTGTTACCCTTGTTACCCCTTGTTACCCTTGTTACCCCTCGTTACCCTTGTTACCCCTTGTTACCCCTTGTTACCCCTTGTTACCCTTGTTACCCCTTGTTACCCATTGTTACCCTTGTTACCCCTTGTTACCCCTTGTTACCCCTCGTTACCCTTGTTACCCCTTGTTACCCTTGTTACCCCTCGTTACCCTTGTTACCCCTTGTTACCCCTTGTTACCCCTTGTTACCCTTGTTACCCCTTGTTACCCATTGTTACCCTTGTTACCCCTTGTTACCCCTTGTTACCCCTCGTTACCCTTGTTACCCCTTGTTACCCTTGTTACCCCTCGTTACCCTTGTTACCCCTTGTTACCCCTTGTTACCCCTTGTTACCCTTGTTACCCCTTGTTACCCATTGTTACCCTTGTTACCCCTTGTTACCCCTTGTTACCCCTCGTTACCCTTGTTACCCCTTGTTACCCTTGTTACCC